CACTTTGGCCTGGCAGCCCCATCATTTTTGAAACTAAAATAGTTTTAGAGATGGATCTTCTTTTCATTCCAGGAATATTCCCACTTTCCTTAGCAGTTATTGCTGATTTAAATGAGTTGTCAACTCCTGGGTTCCAGTGTGGATGGGACAAGCAACCCAAGTGGAGACAGGGTCATTGACTTTTCCATCACATGCTGAGCCTTTTAAGCCAGTAGGGCCACCAAGGGCTCTCTCCCCAGCTGGCACTTCTGGTCACCCAGCCACTCAGGAGCTGGCTTTGGCAGAGTGTCACACTGTCCCCAGTGTGCCATGGCTGACAGACTGATGGACAGACGGGGCCCTGTGTCACCAAAAGCTTGGCCAGACCCAGCCCTGCCACACATGGGTGTTCCAAAATGTCTCCAGACATCAAAGTTTTCCTGTCTCTGACACCCCACCCTGTGCCACCTACACCTGTGACAGACCCGACACCGGGCGCAGCCACCCCGTGACAGTCTCAAAGGGTGAGGGGGGTTTGGGTGTCCCCAGGCTGGCATCCGCGGGGACCCCAGGGGCTCTGGGTGGGCTCTGCTCCATGGCTGAGTGCCCGGAACACGCGGTGCCCGTCCTGTCCCAGCTGGTTGGTGGCCACGCACTGGTAGGTGCCCGAATGTCCCACATCGATGTCCCCCAGCTCAAGGAGGGGACCCCGGGCCACCTCCTGCCCGTTGTGCAGCCAGGTGAAGGTGACAGGGGCTGAGCCCACCTGCACCAAGCAGCGCAGGGTCAAGTTGTCACCTGTGTGCACCTGGTGTGCCAGGGGACCGGGGGTGATGGTGGCATTGGCCACGGGCACTGCGGGGACACAGACAGGGCTGGCACAGGAGAGGTGGGATGGGGGTGCCGTGGGAGGGGTCACCCCCAGCCCGAGGGTCCCGCTCAGCCAGGACGGTGACATTCAGGGGGTCCCCGAGTGCCACTGGTCCCCTGGGGGTCTGCGCCAACAGGGACGCCCTAGGGGACGGGACCCCTTCAAGAGGGGGGACAGCAGGGGTCACTGAGTACCCAAGGGGGTCAGGGAGAGGCAGGGACACCCCAAGGAGAGAGAGGGGGTGCAGAGATGGGGGGCATGAAAGGGACTCTAAGAATGGAATGGGGTTTCAGGGAGGGGATACCGGGAGAGGGAGGGGTCGACACTTGGAAAGATACAGAGACCCAGAGAGGGGATGGTGGCACAAGGGGAAAGTGATGGGACTTCAGAGAGGGGTGAGTGGGCCTTGAGAGGCGTGAAGGGAGCCGGTGAGGGAATGGGCCTCCAGGCACTGATGGAGGCCTCCAGGCAGTGATGGGGGTACCAAGGCAGGGGATCCGGGGCATCTCTGGGCTCACCCCGTGCCCATCCCCGCACTCACTGCGCACCGTGACGCGGAGCCGGGCGCTGCTCTTCCTCACATTCCCCCCCTCAGAGCGCACCTGGCAGCTGTAATGCCCCGAGTGGGAGACCCCCACTGCGGGCAGCAGCAGCTGCGGGGACCCCTGCGGGCCCCCCACCACCTGCCCGTCCCGGGAGAAGACATGCAGGAGGGGGGCTCGGGGCCGCAGTGGGCTGAGAGTCAGGGGGGACCCCTCGGTGGGCTCGGGGGGACCCTCCAGCCCTGGCACTGGGAAGAGCTCAGGGAAGGAGAGGGGAGGTGAGGACTGTGATTCTGAGTCTGCTGGGAAGTGGCTTTGGGGGTGTCAGGAGACTGGAGTTCCAGCTGTGGGGTGCTCACCGTGCACTGTCACTGTCACTCTCTCTGATGCTGACACTGACATTCCTGAGCCCACCCGGGCCCTGCAGTGGTAGAAGCCACTGTGATTCAGCTGCAGGGGGGACAGGGACAGCTCGGTCCCCGTGAGGGACTCCCCCAGATCCTTCATGTCCTGGTAAAATCGCACCCTGGTTACCGGGTTGTCCTGCCGGCCCCGGCAGCGCAGTGTCACCGTGTCCCCCTCCAGCAGTGCCCGTGCTGGCACCTGCAGCACCAGCGGATCTGTGGGACAGGAGGGTCCCATCTCACTGAGGGGCTCGAGACAGGTCTGAGCCCACCTGTGAGCCAGGCTGAGCCAGGTGTCACCTCCAGGGCCAGCTCTGGGCTGAGTGCCCGGAACACGCGGTGCCCGTCCTGTCCCAGCTGGTTGGTGGCCACGCACTGGTAGGTGCCCGAATGTCCCACATCGATGTCCCCCAGCTCAAGGAGGGGACCCCGGGCCACCTCCTGCCCGTTGTGCAGCCAGGTGAAGATGACAGGGGCTGAGCCCACCTGCACTGAGCAGCGCAGGGTCACGTTGTCACCTGTGTGCACCTGGTGTGCCAGGGGACCGGGGGTGATGGTGGCATTGGCCACGGGCACTGCGGGGACACAGACAGGGCTGGCACAGGAGAGGTGGGATGGGGGTGCCGTGGGAGGGGTCACCCCCAGCCCGAGGGTCCCGCTCAGCCAGGACGGTGACATTCAGGGGGTCCCCGAGTGCCACTGGTCCCCTGGGGGTCTGCGCCAACAGGGACGCCCTAGGGGACGGGACCCCTTCAAGAGGGGGGACAGCAGGGGTCACTGAGTACCCAAGGGGGTCAGGGAGAGGCAGGGACACCCCAAGGAGAGAGAGGGGGTGCAGAGATGGGGGGCATGAAAGGGACTCTAAGAAAGGAATGGGGTTTCAGGGAGGGGATACCGGGAGAGGGAGGGGTCGACACTTGGAAAGATACAGAGACCCAGAGAGGGGATGGTGGCACAAGGGGAAAGTGATGGGACTTCAGAGAGGGGTGAGTGGGCCTTGAGAGGCGTGAAGGGAGCCGGTGAGGGAATGGGCCTCCAGGCACTGATGGAGGCCTCCAGGCAGTGATGGGGGTACCAAGGCAGGGGATCCGGGGCATCTCTGGGCTCACCCCGTGCCCATCCCCGCACTCACTGCGCACCGTGACGCGGAGCCGGGCGCTGCTCTTCCTCACATTCCCCCCCTCAGAGCGCACCTGGCAGCTGTAATGCCCCGAGTGGGAGACCCCCACTGCGGGCAGCAGCAGCTGCGGGGACCCCTGCGGGCCCCCCACCACCTGCCCGTCCCGGGAGAACACATGCAGGAGGGGGGCTCGGGGCCGCAGTGGGCTGAGAGTCAGGGGGGACCCCTCGGTGGGCTCGGGGGGACCCTCCAGCCCTGGCACTGGGAAGAGCTCAGGGAAGGAGAGGGGAGGTGAGGACTGTGATTCTGAGTCTGCTGGGAAGTGGCTTTGGGGGTGTCAGGAGACTGGAGTTCCAGCTGTGGGGTGCTCACCGTGCACTGTCACTGTCACTCTCTCTGATGCTGACACTGACATTCCTGAGCCCACCCGGGCCCTGCAGTGGTAGAAGCCACTGTGATTCAGCTGCAGGGGGGACAGGGACAGCTCGGTCCCCGTGAGGGACTCCCCCAGATCCTTCATGTCCTGGTAAAATCGCACCCTGGTTACCGGGTTGTCCTGCCGGCCCCGGCAGCGCAGTGTCACCGTGTCCCCCTCCAGCAGTGCCCGTGCTGGCACCTGCAGCACCAGCGGATCTGTGGGACAGGAGGGTCCCATCTCACTGAGGGGCTCGAGACAGGTCTGAGGGGTGTCCCATGGCCTAGGGGACATCTGTGTGCACTGGGGTGCACTGGGGTGTCCCTGTGTGCAGGGCACAGGCTCCCCACCCACAGAGCAGAGCCCACCCAGAGCTGTCAGGGGCCACCCTGATCATTGAAGATCCCAACTCACCATCTAATACAAACACGGCAGGGCTGGGCCCGCTGTCGGGCCTGTAACATTCATAGATGCCACTCTCAGTGACCTTGAAGTGGTCGAGACCCTGCTGCCCCCAGCGCTTCCCATCCCTGTACCAGGTGGCGGTAGAAAAATGCCTGCCTGTGGTTTGCTCAGCCCTGCAAGAAGCACAAACCCCAAAGGGAGCCCAAGCAGTAGCTCTGCGAGGCCCTTTGATGGTTTTCAGGGCAGGGCTGGCTGGAAACCTCCCGTGCAGAGGCAGCTGTGAGGGAACCAGTCGAGAAATGCAGCAGTTGATCATTTTGTCCCTTGCAGCAAGTTCTGAGAGAGCCCCAAAACCCCTGCAAAGACAACAACAATCTGCTCAGAAACCTGCCTCAGTTTGTCCTACTTTCTGTCTCAAACCTGCAGCTTCTTGGAACGGCCAAGGAAGAATATTTGCATTCTGGTTTGGCTGTCAGCCAAGTGGGAAAAGTGTGGAAATACCCAGCAGTGACTCTGCCCACGGCCATGGTGTGGCTGTGTGGAGTGGCCCTGTGTGCATTCCAGGTGTCCGCAAAGCTGCTCCATCCCTGCCCTCCTCACCTGAGTGAAAGGCTGAGGGTTTGCAGGGATTGTGGCATAAAGGCACCAGAGGGGCTGCTGTGGCCCGAAGGGCTGCCTGGGGTCAGGTGCTGCCTTCCTTGCATTCGAGATCATGGAGAGAGATGTCAGGTGTTGCACAGAGCGTGTGCCAGGCCCCAGGACACTGCTACGCTGCCACTGGGCACTAGGATCTAACCTGCTGCCTTGGCGGGTTCTGCCCACTGCCAGTGGTGGTGCCGGGACCGATTGGTGCCCCTGAGTTTGCAAAGGGAGCAATTTCCCCTCCTGGCTCCCGCCCGAGGCCGCCATGGCCCCTGAGGGGATCGAGCTCCACCGGGGCGCCCCCTGCTGGCCAGGAGTGCTGCCTGCAGCGCCCCCTGCTGGCCGCGGTTATAACTGCCACACAAACCAACAGCGCTGAGCGGGAGGGAAAGTTCTGGGTTTGTGTTGTTTGTTCTCTTCTGGTTTA